TATGGCCTCAAAGACACCCACTATATTTGGGTGTAAAGAGTTGTACAACTTGAAGGGGATGCAAGGTGTGACATAGACAACACTATTTGTGACTCCCTACAACCACTAGGGTAGTGTGGTGCATAGTTTGTGGTCCAAAGTGCTCCTGTTTGAGGTTGTGCTTCTTTATGCACCCATGCTATAGTTGGTGTCATTGAGGCCAGTTTTGCCTTTCTAAAAGTAAACCTTAACGACATTTTTTAACTTCATAAATTTTTGTAGAGGTTTAGTGTCACTGATTTTTAGTATCTTAGCTTACCATAGTGAATATATGCAAAATATAGTTCTACAAAGTGGAAATTTTCTTTTATCTCAAGGGACCAATTTGAGGATTTCCTTAAAATTGTATATGATGCTTCAAAATAATACTATCTCCATTCTTTTATGATGGTATTAATTACTATGTATGTACACTGAGAGTATGAGAGAGTGTGGGTAGTGGGGCATGTGTAAGAAATATAGGAAAGAGAGTGTTGCAACTGGAAAAGTAGGAAAGGTAGTGTTGTAGGAAAGAGAGGTGTTTTATAAGGACAAATTAGGAATAAAGTAAAAGTGTAAAAACAAAAGGAATCGAGTGTAATCGGAAAGCATAACCATGCAACAACAACAAAGCATTACTCCTAAAATGATTTGGGGCCAACTATACTTCCTAAAAAAGAAAAAAAAAAAAAAAGAAAAAAGAAAGAGAAAAAAAGCGGAAGTATATTATACTTCCTCTGTCCTTCCATCTCTGCCAACGTCCAACCTTCCTCATTACAGCCACCTCCACCTCCACCTCTTCTCTTTCCTTTGCATCACAACCACACAGGTTACCAAAATTGAGGCCACTGTGGTTGAATTTGGCCGGATATTAAAATCACCATAGCCAAATCCAACCTCTTTGCCCTTGAATGTTATTAAAAAAAAAAAAATGCTTGTGCTTGACAATCGACGGTGGGAATTTCTCTCTCATCTCTTTTCTCTATATAGATGGGTATGGTGGTGATGGGGATGAGAGAAAGATGCATTATTACTAAGAGCATTTTTTTGTGCTTTGTATGTGTTTAGAGCTGGTATTAGTTTTATCTGAGTTGGTGTTTATTTTGATTTTGTTTATTCCCAATTGTAGTGATAGTCTTGTAGTGGTGGCATAAGCGGTGGTGTGGCGTTGATTTTTCCATGGTGGTGTAGGTTGTAGCGGTGTAAGCAGTGGTGGTTATGTCAGCGATGGTGTTAGCACCGGTGGTCCTTTGTGAATCGTCAAGGAGGCTGGTTGACACAATTGTTCTAACATGGAGAAGGGTAGGAGGTTAGTGGGTAGGGTTGTATTCTTAATCCTAAATACTACCTCCGTTTCATATTATTTGCAACGATTAGACATCTTCTACTCATAGTTTATGTCAAAACGTTGCAAATAATATGAAACGGAGGTAGTAAATTAATAACCAATGAGAGTAATGCCTTAATCCTAGATTTCTAGCATATCAGCATACTTATACTTGGGTTTTGACCTGACTCTGTTTCTTATTATTGGTCATTTAGGCACGCTTTTTGTTGTTGTTGTTTTGGGGAGGGGGGGGGGGATATTGTTCTTGATTACAGAAAGCAGGTATATGTTTTTTAACCTTACTTTATTTTGTTGGGAGTAGATTTAGTATTTTATTTTTTTATTTTTTTATTTTTTTGACACAAGGAGTAGATTTAGTTTACCTTCTTTTGGGGTGTACAAACTGTGGCTCAGAGAATGTTATCTCACTGTCATTTTTCAAATACTCTGTAAATTTTCAGGAAAGAAATTACCCAGCTACAGAACAAAGAGGTTGAGATGAAAAAGGCTGCAGCTAAAGGTAGCAAAGCCGAACAGAAAGCAAAGAAAAAGCAAGTTGAGGAGGAAGTAGCCAAACTATCTGCCAATCTTAGAGATAAACATGCACAGGAACTTTCTTCACTGGGCTATAATATCAGCACGATTGGCAATGGAAATGACAGAGGAAACCTTGACACACTTGTCAAAGCAATTGCTGGAGTATCTGTGGCCAGTAATGCTGATAATCACAAGCCTAGTAAAAGTGTTAAGAGACGTGAGAAAAGAGCTCAGCAAGAAGCTGCAAGGGAACAAAGAATAAAAGAGGAACAAAGCAACATCACAAGTGATAGAGTGATTGAAGATGGGTTATTGGAGAAGAAGCTAGACCCACTTGGATTGACCATCAATGATATAAAACCTGATGGCCACTGCCTTTATCGTGCTGTGGAGGATCAGCTAGCTCACTTGTCAGGAGGTTCTTCACCTTACAATTTCCAGCAGCTTCGAGAGATGGCCGCTTCTTATATGCGTGATCATGTCTCTGAATTTCTCCCCTTTTTCATATCAGAGAATGAGGTTGAAGGAGAGTCAGATGATTCTCTGGCGCAGAGATTTGAAAACTACTGTCGCGAGGTGGAAACAACAGCAGCTTGGGGTGGGCAACTGGAGCTTGGTGCCTTGACACATTGCTTGAAGAAACATATAATTATATTTTCAGGGTCCTTCCCTGATGTTGAAATGGGCAAGGAGTACAAGACTGATGGTTCTTCTACTTCATTGAACTCTTGTATCAAGCTATCGTACCACAAGCATGCGTTTGGTCTGGGTGAGCATTATAATTCTGTGGTTCCCAGTTTATAACAAAATCATTTAGCTATCCCTGCAAACTTATGAGATTGAATTTTTTTTTTTTCCCCTTCTCTTTTTGTATGAGAGAAAAAGTAAGCGAATTAGGAGTGCACATTGAACTCCATTGTTGAACTCAAGAGTGATAGTATTTCTGTTGCATTTTTTAATACCATACATACTGATACTGATACACTTCAAGTTTGATCTGCTTGGATATTTGATACCCTTTAAATTTTGATACAATAATCAGTTATTGCCATATTTTTTTTATCGTGTTTCTTTGTAAGCAATTCTTTGGTGAGACCATCTTGCACACATCTAGTATGCAATAATTTTCTTTTATCTTGTTTGAGCACATGAACTTTGGGAAAGATGAAGCTCTCTGCTAAGGTTAGAGAGATGTAAAGCAATATTGGTCTGCTCAGCTTGTAGTGACTATAGTGATGGCCAGTTAGTTTTGATTTCTCAGCTTGTGACATAGTGACGATTATAAAGTACCAAAAAGTAACTTGCTGCAACATACTCCACACATGGATTGTGGCTAAACCTTGGTATCCCCGGCCTGGCGATGGCCTCCCCATGACACGCCCAAGAAGCAGCACATATTAGATGCAGTGACTATTTATAGAAAGCTTTTAATGAGTTTTTAGGTTTCCCTTACATTGAACTTGGGCAACTGCTGTCGCACTAATGGGTGTAATTTTGCTTTTAGGTGTATTTTGGTGGATAGAAATGCTCTTTCCTTGTTAATTTATGCTCGAATTTTGATTAGTTTAACCTTAACCTTAATCTTACCTTCTGGGTTGACCCGTAGGAAAATATTAAAACTTGGCTAGGCCATTAAAGCGAAAAGTGCAAATAAAAAGGGAAATAACAACAAACAGACGAAGGCAGAGGGCATCCTTTGGAACATAGCAGTAGCCTACTAGTCAACTTATATCAAATGTCAATCCAAATACTATCCAAATATAGAATAAAATCCCTTGCAAACACAAATCGGATAACAAGGGCAGTCGAGTGCACGAAAACCCTGGGGAAAACCCTTGTTAGAGTCTGCAGCGACACCTTGGGCAACTGCTGGTACACAAATGGTTGTCAACAAAACGATGGCAAGGATTATAAGTAGAAAAACCATATTATAATTGTTTCGCTTCATCATCTTTGCCACAAATATTACTCAACTCTGTTTTATTTTGCTTGTGTGTGTTTTTAGTGGATAGATTGATATACCCCCCCTTGGTTAATTTGATGCTCAAATCACGAGTATATGTAACCTTCAAAATCAATGCATCCACATGTATCAAACTTCTATATGGCTCATATGAACTAAGACCAGCATTTACTCCTTCCGTCTCCTTATTTTTTGGCCATAGGTGAGAGGAAAATGGTGGTCTTTATATATATGGTACAGAGCAAAATAAAAAGGAACACTCCAATAAGAAAAGTATGTATAGCAAAAATTAAGAGATAGAGGGAGTACTAATATATTTCAGCAACTTATATAATATGAAATAATAAATTTATATTTATCTCAAGTTTCATTTTTCTTGCAACCAGCCGACCAGGTGTGTCCAACATGGATATGAGCGGTTCACCATTGGCTTTTATTAGTTTAGTAGGACCACATTTACTAATATATCCAATTAACTTACATAATACTCCCTCCGTCCCCAAATGTATTTCCATTTGCCATTTTTAGTGCCCCTAAATGTTCTTTCCATTTCACTTTTTTCAACTTAAATTATGATTGGGTTTTATCTTTCTTAATATACTTTATCTTATTTTACCTCATTTTTGCAATAATGATTGAGGCTTTTATCTTTTCTAACGTAATTTTTCTTACTTTATCTCTCTACTTTCCTTACAAATTATTGGGGTTTTATCTTTCCCAATGTAGTTTCATAACTTTATCTTTCAAACCTTAATTCCCTTGATGTTTCACCAAAAGGGAAAAACATTTAGGGCCGGAGGTAGTACTTCATAATATATATTTTTTTCATGTTTTGTATCCACATGTGTCTAACATGGACGTAAGCTGGTGGCTATTGACTTTTACTAAGCTACTTTGTTTACTAAGACTACATTTACTATCATATCCAAACAATATGTCCGACATGGACATGAACCAGTAACCATTGCCTTTTATTAGTTTATTAAAACTACACATAATAACGTATCCAAGCAACTTATGTAATAAAATTCCTCGTATATTATTCTCCTGTTCATTTACCGTGCATGTTTCCAGACATAATTATTGACTTAATTGTTACTGTGATTATTGCTTCGTTTTTGCATATTCTACATAAGGGTTATGAAACCTAGAAAATTAAACAGATAAGTAGCACAAACTTTTCCAGGTTGAGCCGTAAAACCAATCTCCTAGCAAAATCAAGAGACAAAGAAGTTGCTGATTGAGTGATAAATTTGAGCATAGTGATACTGTAATAAATATGAAAGTAGCCATAGAATATTTCACTTGGCAAACCAATATAGTGAGAATAGTACTGTAAAAAGGAAGAATATTTAAGCGGATACACCAACACACATACTGAAGACAGACCAAAAGAGTTTGCTGTAATAGCCATAAAAGTTGTCGCGAGGTCTAGGACAGAGAATGAACTTTTCAAGCTGGATGTAGTGCTGCCATTTACAGTAAGAGATCATCTTGGCATGTTGGCAAATGAGTATAACATGGATCTTGTATTCCGGTTGAGTAGGACAGACCAACAAATGCATTCAAGTCCTCGTCGATCTGTACTCTGCAAGCAAATAAAAGGGTGAGGCTAAGTGAAGATTCAAATTATCACACAAAGATCTAAACTCTGAAAGGTAAGGTTGTTCACTAATTATCAGCTGTGACTTTTTTTTTCACCGAAGATTTTGACGTTATGCATACCCTATACTCCCTTCCAGCCTCCAAACTGAAAAAAAAAAAAAAAAAAAGAAAAAAATAAAATAAAATAAAAAAAATACACCCATCTGATTAACTAGTAAACAAAAGTATGCTCCACCCAATTATCAGGGACTAATCTTGCTGCAAAATGATGATATAAAGAAGTAGATACATTCTTCCTAGACATTTATAAAAGAAAAACACATGTATATGCAATGGAGCTTATATATATTTTGCCTCTGATTCCTAATACTTAATATTTGTATTCAGAAACTGTAACTACTCCATTATTCTATCCGTAGCTAATGAGAGTGGGCATTATGCATCCAAAGCTGCTCAAATGAAAAAATTTGTAGTTTGTTCAATAATCGTATCTAATTCATATTAGACCTAATGGCTGAAAATATATAATATGTATTATTTCAATTTAAAGTCTGAACACAGGAAAGAAAAGCATTACTTAATTGACCAATATTATAAGTCATAGAATATGGAAAGGTAATCAGAAAATAGCATAACCCCTGCCAAATTGTGAGAGATTCCAGTTCGCTACATCAATAGGTAAATGGGTCATAAGAAGTTGGTTCACCTTAACGTGGAACTGAGCTTCTCTGAAACTTGATTTCAGGTCTGGGTACGACGAATGTGTGCAAATCTGGTTTTCTGTATACTAACGAGCAAATCAAAGCCTCTGAACCCAAGTGAAGATCATAACCTGTAATACAGAATTTAATATACAGCATTAAGTCAAGATTAGATAAACCTGATATACCATAATATCATATCCGAAGGATTATCTCCATTAGGTTGAATATATCACCTACATCAGCAATTCTGCAGAAACTTTGTTTCTTTGGATGGGCATTATCATATCGGTTTAATGGAGGGGATGTGTTGAATGTGAGGCCAGTCTTCCCCAGTGGGTTGTTGGCATCTTTCCTTGAGGCGTTTTGAACATTCATAGAGTCGAAGTATCCTGAGGGAAGTCAGTTTAGGCATCCAATCCGGCATACATTCCAATCCCGAGCAACGCCCAATATGGAGGGTCTGGAGGGCTGCCAAAGATTGCATCCAATTTGGAAGATCCACAAGCTGTGGGAGATTATCCAATGTCAAGTTACGGAGGGAGTGAGAAAAGGATGGCCATGGCATGCCAATAGTGTTCATTCCCTCTTCTTCTCCCAATAAATTTACATTTGGGCATTCAGAGATTGTTAAAGCCTGCAAGGCAGTGAGATGTTCCAATCCTCCAGAAATAACACTCCTCAATTTGCGGCATTTTTCGATTCTCAAGGATCGTAGGGAAGACGAGCAGCTACTGAACACATCCCCAGCTTCTTTCAAACTCTCCAACTCAGACGACATACGCAGCTCATCAAGACTCTGAATTACTTCTCTGGGAAACGAATTAAGCCATAGAACATCATCTAGCCAAACTTCCCTGAGTTTGGAAATAACATTTGAAGAACCAGTAGTACTGCCACTTGCATCCGCCTTTTCATTCCCCAATTTCGTAATTATTTGGAGTCTTTTATTGAACCAATAGATATGTAGTTCTACTAAGTTGGGACATAGCAGAATCGATATTAAATTTGGGCAATTTGATATGAACAAAAACGTCAATTGAGGAAGTGGTATTGGTGCCATGCTGAAGCTGCTGTTAATATGATTATTATCTCCCACCCCCTCCCCTATATTTGTCCATCCTTGCAACTGTGGAAGGTAGTCCATAACCAGCTTTCTCAGGCGGGGAAATAATCCATTTGGATCACTGCCACCTGCTAATGCACTCTTTTCAAAAATGTACTTCAATTTCCGACAGCGGGAAAGTTTAAGGAATTCCAAATGACGCAGATTTCCCAGGCATGTCAAGTCCTCCATCCAGCAGTCTAAAAAATCCAATATATTAAGATTAGGGAGAGAGGTCGCCAACTTATTTTCCCAAGCCCAACTCGGCATTCTCATGCCAACACAATTTCGCAACTGTAATCCCCTGAGATTCGGATGTGGTTGCAGCTCTTCCATTAATCTCCTTGCTTCTTCATCATTCCCCCTAATCTCAAAGCTTATTCTAATAAATTTGAGATGTTCCTTATCCCTCAAATATGCTCCTTCCCTATCTATATCTTCCTTAACTGCTCTGGCATTTTCAAAAAATCTGATTCTGACAGAAAGATCACCTTTCAGGCTGTTAAGTCTTTTTAGCTCCCCCAGTTGATCAAACCATTGCTTCTGACTTGCCTTTGATCCATCCATTACAAACATACTCAGCACACGAAGGCAAGTCAACTTACTCAAGCCCTTTGGCATATTAGTCAGGCTAACACAATCAATTATCTTTAATATCCTCAAGTTAACCAACTTCATCAAATCTTTTGGTAACTCTTTCAATTGTCTGCACTCACATAATTTCAATGTCTGTAAATTATATAACTTGGTAATTGATTGAGGAAGCACATCCAGCACACGATTGTATGAGAGATCTAAATATCTTAAATGCAACAATTCACCTATTGAGTGCGGCAAACATTCTATACGTGACTTACTCAAATCCAACACCCTCAAAAACCTCCAATTTGCTACTAATGCCTTCAAGGAAGATTCGTCAATCACATCACGAAAATACCATGCACGAAAATCCAGTAAGGAACGAATGTGGGTCTTAGAACGAACGGATGTCCAACTTCGTACATGGGAAATATGTCGGACTTCTCTATCCATAATGTCTGTTACAGAATTTTCAAAATAAATTTCCTTCCCTGCTACATTTTGAGCAATATCATGCATTAGATCGTGTATCTTACACGAAATAATGTCACCATATTCATCATGCTCTACATCTTGAAAAAAACATCTCCGCATCAGAATAGTAAAATACTCCTCAACAGCATCTTCCAACCTTTGACCATCATCTAACGGAACAACGTAGCCCTGTGCCAACCAAAGGCTTATCAACAACTCCTTCTCTATGACAGTGTCTTTTGGGAACAATGCACAGTATGTGAAACAACTTTTGAGGGGCAATTCAAGTTGATGATAACTAAACATGAGTATAGGCATGATGTCCTTTTGGCTTTCTCTCAAGTTGAATAACCCAATCTCCTGAAATGATATCCATCTACTCTTGTCTTGACCATACAGAAGACTCCCTGCCACTCTTATGGCAAGAGGAACACTGGCACATCCTTCAACAATCTCTCGGCCAATCTTCAACAAATCTTCGTGAGGGCTTAATTGTTCTGATCCAAATGCTATTTTCTTAAACAAGGACCATGAATTCTCCTTTGACAACCCTTGGAGCTCATATTTTTTACCACCCCCTACAATTTGGGCTGTCTTGTGCGACCGTGTTGTTACCACAACCCAACTTCCCCTCTGGCCTCCCAATAAGAACTCTACAAGCTTAAGCCAGTGATTGCGATTCTCAGTCCATACATCATCTAAAACAAGCAAGTATTGGCTGCTTGATAATTTTTCTCGAAGTTTGCTTTGTAACCTTTCTATGGTAGATTCCTCATGCGTTTGACCAGTTGAAGCATAAATCTTACGAAGTATACTTTCCACATCCAACTGCTCCTGATCATGATCAGAGACACAAGTCCACAACCTCAATGGGAATGCACTTGTGACCCTTGGATCATTATACACCAGTTGGGCAAGAGCAGTTTTCCCCAATCCTCCGATTCCCACTATAGTGAGGAAAGAAACATCTTGTTGAATGGTTGAACAATTCAACAGATGACCTACAAGTTCCTCCAAGTCATCCTCTCTCCCAATGATACTACCCTCACAGATGTAAGAACATGTCTCCTCCCTCCTCCTCCTGATAGGCTGAGGATCAATACTACTGCCAAATTGAGAGTGATTATTGGCAATAGCATCAAACTTCCTCCGAATTTTCTTAACCTCTTGGGACATAGAGTGAGCCATCTTGATAGGATTGTAACGAGAAAAGAAGAGACTCACATTTTTGGAGAGTTTCTGACCCTTGATGAGCTGCTTTTGCTTAACAAGAGTGACGAACTCATCGAACAAATCGTCAGCATCATAAACAGCATCCTTGAGCTTCTGAATCCAGAGTTGTGCTTCAGAAGAAAGCTGGTCCTGCTTGATCTCAGCATCTTGGAGCACAGCCTTGACAGTGGAGACAGTCTCTTGGAGGTCTTCAAGTTGGGATTTATACCCAACGCCAAAAAAGGAGCTCAATTCTTTGAGCTGCGAACATTGAAGAGAAGCAAACAGAGTTTGAGCAACGGACAACGCGGTTCCAAGATCCATATTTTTGGTTTCAGAAATGAGCTCAGACAATGAAAGAGTGTTTGTTATGGCAGATATTACTTGTAATGGGTTTATTTTATAACCACACAAATGTGATGGAACCGATAATGTACTTTAAAGGCAAAAGGTGTTGAAACACTGTCATAGATTCATTCAAATAATAGAATGATTAGTATAAAAATGCAAGGACTATTGTATAGTTTGATTCCATGTGCTTAGTTTAAGTCTCGTACTAGTACCTCCTCAATTGGTGTATTGAGTAGAGGCGTTCCAAACGGAGGGTTGCGAGACATTCAGGCTTGTCTCGCAGGGGCAAAAGGGTCTTTTAATATCTATTTTGAATTTTGCCACTTGGATTCGCCGTTTCGAGATAAAGCATCCCGTTATGAAAAAAGTTGTCTCATATGTTTCTCTCTCTCCACCAAAAAGTAAACTCGGTCTCTGTGTTTGAAATTGTTGTCATTCTCTCTCCTCGATGAATTCTCTATCTCTCTCCTCGATGAATTCATAATTTTCGAGCTTCTCCCCGTCTCCATCTCCATCCATCTCCAAATTGAAGGTAGTGAAGCAGTAGAAAGTGTTCGAAATTGTACACACACTCCCTCCATTGTTGGAACAGGTACGCAATTATATGTTTAAGTGTTGAAATTTGAAATGAAATTGTCAGGGTTTTACCTGTAATCGTTGTTAACTTAGGGTTTTACCTGGAATTGTCAAAGTTAGGGTTATTTTTTCTTAAATGCTTGAATTTAGTGTTGCAATTTGGGAAGATGGGTCGCAATTTGGGAAGATGGGTCGCAATTTAGTTTCACAATTGGGAAGATGGGTTGTAATTAGGGTTTAATTGGGGGGGGGGGGGGAAACGTCAGTAAAGGTGGTTAGGTTTTTGAGGAAAGGATTATAACGGATTATACTCCAGGGTAAAACATAACAATCAATTATCAATGCATAAATTAATCAGATTATAAAGGACTTTCGCTATGTATTATAATCACATAATTAATCTACCGGTGTTAAATCGCATCTCGCGAATCTTGACCTAACCATTTATAGGTTAACGCGCCTATTGAAACTACGCCTAAACATTAATTCTCATCTCTCGAATCAATATTGCAAAACTCATACAATTAAACCAGCTAATCTAATTGCATAGCATTAAATAAATCAATAGGAAATCAATCAAACATTAATAATTAACAATAATAAATTACCCCTTCATATTATTCATGGATCCCCAAAAACCCTAGAATTAAACTACTCACACATAATTAAATCTCCACTAATCAAAGCAATAAAGCAAGACATATTTAAGGCAAAGCAATTAAATTACTGAAAGTAAGAGGGAAGAAATCGTTACCAAAATTAATGGAAATAATGAATTGCATAAAACTCAGTAGTATCGAGAGAAAAAGTGTAGAGAGAGAAAGTAAGAGTATTAACAAAAGCTTAAACTAATAATAATCCGTAATTTGAGTAAAGAGGGTTTTTGAGGAAAGGATTGTTCAAGATTAAGGGGTTTTTTCCCCCTAAAGTTTCGTAATCGGGAAGATGGGTTGCATATAGGGATTTTTTTAGGTTGCAGTAATCATGTTGTAAATGGCTTTGCCAATGGGTCGCAATAAGGGTTTAATTTCGCGGAAAAGTTAGTAAAGCAAGGTTTTTTTTCTACTAGAGTGAAATGTGGGTTTTGTAGGTGGTGTTAATCGTTTTGTAAGTATCTGGCAATAGGGGATGCAATTAGGACTGGTGGTGGGTCTTAAAACTTGTTGAAAATGGATTGCAATTAGGGTCCCCAAATACTAAAACTGGATTTCTGAATATTAATTTTGGTCGCATGATTTGGTAAAAAACCTGGCAATGTCTGTATGTTGTTGTCAAATCTTTCTATGTAGCGCCTCACTCTTTTTGTTGTGTTTGGTGTTCCATCTGGATTTCAATTGTGGTGTCGTTATGGCTTACTGATTTAGTTTTGATTATTGTTTGGGTTTGTTTGTCTATTATAAAGGTTGTGTATTTTGTTATTGCGAAGAATTCTTATGCTTTGTTTAGTGGTTGTATAAGCATTTATTTGTTATGCTTTAGTAACCTATCCTATTGATAAGGTTTGAAGTATGTGTTTGTATGTGGAATGATGCAACTTTGACTCAACTTAAGTTTCATGAAATAGAGGTTTATATGATATGCTTTAGTAACCTGGAATTGTCTTGTATTTATCACTAATATCTTAAGTTTCATGAAATATCTAATTTTGATTTCAATTTGTGAGCAGTGTGACATTGTAGTCATGAAGAAGAAGTCAATTGTGCGCTCAATGAATAGGACAAAGTGGGGGGGGGGGGGTGAGTATTTATTGTTTAATATTCCATGATATGGTGGAGTGACCATTGTGTAAGTGTTGAACTAATTTGACCGATCATTTTCAAGGTCCATTAAAAAGGGAGGTATGCAAACCTGTGGCTTCCTCATCAAAGCCCAAACCTGTGGGCCAATCGAAATATGTGGCTATGACTGGTAAACGTAAGGCAAAATGTGATGTTGACGACAATTATGAAGAAGGTGAGGATCACGAGGATGAGGAATCTGAACATTCGAGCAATGAGGGTGGTTCAGATTCAAGTTCTGGATTTATGGAGGTGATGATTTAGGAGTATTTGAAGAGAATTGACAGAGTAGGAAGAGAAAAGGAAAGTCACTGTATGGTGGGGCGAATAAGAAGGTTTGTTGGCATAAACAAGTTGTAGTTGATAAGGCTACCATGTTGTAAGTACTTTGTTTGTGTCAATTTCTGAACAGTGAAAAGGTATATAATGTTTATTTTCAGGGCATTAAAACAGAAGGACATAGAGTTATGACTGATGGTGTAGTCTTACGGACACATTATGAGAACATTGGGAAGGTATAGAAATGCTCTGCTTAAGGTGTATTTATCTATGAAGTACTTGTAATTTATAGTTTTAGTTCTTGTTTGTATGTGAAATGATGCTACTTTGAGTGAACTTTGAGTGGGAAATAATGTTTACTGGGTATATTGTTTATGTTATTTTGGTATTGACTAATGCTAATAAGTGCGCTTTGTCTTGCAATAGCCCAATGTTGTTTGCAGAGTGCTAGAGGGATAAATCGGCCGTTGGACAATCACACTAAGCCAAACAATATTTCTACCTAAACCAACCTAAGACAAGTCTAGGGTAAGTAGAGGATCGTATCCACAGAGAATGGGTATGAGTACACCAAGATTATGAAACGGTTGTAATCTAGTTCGGTCACAAATTAAGGGTTTTGAATATATAATTAACTACTATGAGGAAAAACACTAGGGGGAAATGGGAATCGACACCAACCAAACCAATGGATCAAAACAATAGGCAAGCATGAACACAAATTGAGTGATAGAAAGGACACTCAACATTGCCTTCTTTCGAAGCCACAATATTAAGCATTCCTAAACCAAACTCAACTAACAAGATAGGCCAACCAAGTCTTAACGATGGGAAGTAGACTACTTACTCGGGTTTCTCTTTTGATCGGTCCAAGATAGCATTAAGGCACAAGTAATTGGGATTTCTCACCTAATTACCGCAACTAAGACTACTACATCATCTAAACAAGGAACCGTAATCAAGATTGAAATTTGGTTTAATCATACAAGAAAAGGTTCACAACTAAACTTCATCTTTCAATGCAAGCATAGAAATGAATACATGAGCAATAAGTGGCCATCCAATTACACATGCAATTAACCAATTCTTTAACAATCAAACATCAACCTAAAATGAACATGCAAGCACAAAATCAATCAACCAATGGCTTGGTTGGGTCTTCACCCAACCCCTAGCTAATTAACTACTCACTAAACATGGTGTTCAACATCCTAACAACAATATCTAAATTCAACATTAATCTAACAATTTGAGAAAAATATAAGAACAAAATAGATTGAACATGCAACAACAAATAATCAAGATTAGAGAAGAAATTAACAATATCAATCAATTAAAAATAGAAAATAAAGAGTAAGAGATAGAGGAAAGAGATTACTAATGAAGCTTCAAAGTTGAAAACATGTTGAAATTGAGAATACAAACTTCAATTAATCTACTTCAATGATTGAATTTGAAAGAAACTAAGCTAGTTAATGAGAGTTTTAGGAACTAACTAAGAGATAAGGGTCTAAGAAAAGTAAGGGAAGAGAAGCCCCCTAAAAACTGAAGCTAAGGGTCGTATTTATACACCCCGAAGTTACATTGTAAAATCTGTCAAAATCGGGCTTTAGAATAGTAGTTTTTCCATGATTATTTACATGATTATATTGGATTACGTTATCCATTAGTACAATGATGGGGGATTGCATAATTTATTTTTTCACAGATTATTTTTTCCTCTATTCAAAATTATAAAGTTCTTTTGACTTGTAGGTGTACCATGGAATAAATATGACTACAATTACACTCCACCCACCTTATCCACACATATTCCATATACTTACTTCATTTATGTAAGAGGAAATAGGTTGTGCTAGTCTTCGTCATTGTTGCCTTGAGCCAAGTGTAGTACTGTTGAATCATTTCAGACAGGTCTGTTGCTCTTCTAGTTGGACTATGCTGGGAGTCGGTTAAACAGCTGTGTAGCATTGTAGCCTTGTAGGTGTAGAATTAGAAAACCACTTCACAAATAATTATTTACCATGGTAGTTTTTTGTTTTGAAGAACTCGAGCAGCTAGTGTAGTCGGTTAATTACCATCTTATAAATTAACATATCGTTTTTCGCTTATAAATTAACATATCATTTACTGATTAACTCGTATAATTTTTATACTCCTGTAAGACAAAATAATTTCCACTATTGTCGTATAGGAGTAGAAAAATTATACTCGTAGACAAGTAGAAGGCGAAGGTTTGTTCACAACAACATACAATATTTTTAAAAGAGTCCAAGAAGTGAGCATTAGGTGTTGGTTTAACAGGACAAAAAACTTATAATATCCGGAATACAAATTTTGCTGCTGTGATGAATTGTCTTATCAAGACCCACTTTTGTTTTCAGCTTGACAGCTTGCTTGTTGAACAGAATAAAACAACTTTCGAATTGGTTTAAAGGTACAAACAGATTTGGTGGGATTTTTACTCAGCTGTCTTCTTCCTATTGTCATTCATGCAATAACTCCTCTTCAAAACCCAATGTATACCTAACTTAACCTCACTGAACTCAGTTTAGTCATGGCTACTCGTCTCAGTAGTATGCGCAATGTTTGGGGTAGGCTAATGCACCCACACCTAGTTGAACCTGTGTTCTAATTCAGCCCTTTCTTAACCACTCTTGAACCCAAGCTTAATTTCAATGAATTAACCTATTATGATGGGGATGATTACTTCCTTAACATGGAACCAATACCGTTTAGTGTCGTACGCGACCAACTTATCCATTCCCTTGAATATGAGACCACTACTTTTCATCCCCGACACCCTTATGGAGGTGGCAGATTTGGATGTAAGGGCTGCTTATATTCCAGATCTGTCCGACCTTGAAGGCTATCTCCACAAGGGTGTCCTGGTATTCGCAAGGTGTTTATGTCAAAAATCCATGGGTGTGGATGATGCTCCCTTCATACCTATGGATTTGATCCCAATTTTTTTTATCGTAAGCCAATTGTCATGACCGAGCACCTTCCAATCTACACCTTCCTCTTAAAGAAAGCCACATCTTCATATGTGCCAAAATCGCTGCTATTCATGTGTTGGAAGTCAATGCTAAGGTGAAATTGGTGAATTTAAATGTATTCACTTGCAAAACAACCCTAAGAAAGATTAGGTACCATCGTATCTCTGTGTGTGGCTCTGATGGCCACATCCCCCAAGCTCCCAATTTCCCAAAGGGTTCTACTTTTGTCCTTTGAATGCAAGGAACGTCAACCATCCTTCTTTCAAGAAGACGTTTAACAAGTTGTTCAATTCATTCTCCCTGGAAATCGTTTTGATCACGGAGTCCAGAGCTGACGCTGCTTTGTTCGGGTACGTTCGCGACGTGCTACAACGTCTATACAGGGTTGATGGTTTCGAAAACTTTAATGGCTACTACAGTGTCCTGCTAATCTGGCAGAAGTCTGATGTGTATCCTTGGGTGAATTACAGGGGTGCTATTGAGGTATTATATTCCAATTCTATTTTTTAAATTGTTTGTTAAACATGAATGCAATTAATTGTTACCATTTCAATTAATGATGTTAAATAAAATAATACCATGTCAATGACTTTCCTTTGTTTGATAATTTAAGTATAACTTGTCCTTTTTTATTTAATGTCCCAGCCAGGGGAAAAATTCAATTCAACCCCTCAACGAGTCCACCCGGCTTCAAATTGGTACGAAGACAGAGAGGAGGATGAAGATGGAGTTGTTCATTCGGACAACGATCACTTATCCGTGTAATCCGTGTAGGAGGAACGAAGGTGCAGCTGGCCCTTGGTGGATGAACTCTATGATGTTTGTTTAGTAAACTGTTATGTCTTAATCCTTTTAGGTAGTTATGGAATTATCTTCTAGTGGTGTTCTTAGACTTGTTTAAATTTATAAACCCATCAGACTATGGTTGTTATTAAGGTTATGAATATGTTGTGGATTGTTTAAAATATATTTGTTAATTTCTTATTTTTGTTAGTTTTTTGTAACGAATTCACAAATCAATTTGGCTCAGCAAACATGAACAATAGCACCACAAGTTGTACTACAGAAGCTAGACAATAGGATTTTTATTTAGCATTCACATTAACAACATTAACGACATCAACTTAGCATATTTGTTTAAAACACGAACTCATACGGTACATAATAAGAGAAACATAGCACTAATCTTGAACCATAATTTTCAACTAAAAAACGCAATAACAGAGCAACAACGAATGCCACAACCACATATTTCATTGTGAACAATACCGTTTTCTTTTCCCTCTAAAAACCAACTCGTTTTACTTTTTTTTCCTCTTATTTGCGAAATTACCATTGTGAGACACTATTCATTTGTCTCACAACCTTGGAATTATACTTCCTCGTATCAAGTAAAGTCATGAGCACGCCTCAATAGGCTAATATAATTGTCTAGATAAAAGCAAGAGGTATATCAAATGCACAAGTGTAAATATTTGGGTATGATACCAAATGTTGTGTTTTTATTTGCGTCTTTAATTGTATATTCATAATTTTGATTCCAAGTTTATGTCCTTGATGAACATAATTCATTACTTAAGAAGCAAAAATCGAAATATTACAGGCATGAATTATAGGAAATAGCAAAGTAGTGATTTTGGAGTAATAACGGTTTAGGGGCAAAACCCCCGGGTTTTCTATGGATAGTAACAAAAATTATGCATTTATTTGCAATTTTGCAATTTGATAAACAACAACAATTAATCAACGAGATAAACTTAAATTTTTTTTTCTTAATTGTATATTCTTTTTTCATAATTTTATTGATATTGCTACCCACCTACTGTAGGTGGGTCATTTATTATAATTTGTTAACCATGATCTTATCACAACTATATGATTTTTGTACTGTAGTAATATTGTCTATATTGATGGGTATTTTTGTCGACTTAATTACAAATTTTGTAATTTTTTTAGAGAACAAAAAATTGTCACTTAATTTGCAACTAACTTTGAATTTTCCTATTATCACCCATTATATAGCTGAAACAAGGGAGCCCTGGCTTACCATCATAATAAACTAGGAAATAACGTACACCAGTAGCGGTTTTAGGGTGTTTACCACAATAATAATGAAAGACCTGAATCAATTACTTTGAGTTTGTTTTGTTCACGTTATTTTCACTTACGTATTTCAGGTTTACTCCCTCCCTTTTTGTTTTTAAAATGCACCACAAGTCTTTACACAGAGTTTAAAGAGCTACATAGTATAATACTAGGTTAGTTCCCGTGCCATGCACGATAATTTTCAACAACCATTATTAAACTACGATTATAATTAATTTTTATATAAATATTATATATAGCTGACAAATTTTGATTATAATAAAGGATTACAAAAGATATGTTAGATATAAAAGGATGTAGAATGATTAAAATTATGTTAATAATTTTTTTATAGATATATAAATATTTGTGTTAAACATATGCCAAATCTTTTTTTATTTTAAGTAATTATATTGTATAAGATTAGCGAATTATTTTTGTATAAGATTTGTTTCTTTAATTGAATTTCATTCAAAAAAAAAAAACAACTAAGAACACACCAGAAGATGACACGTGTCATTACTGGTGTGTCTTTTAGTATATTGTTATTGATTGATTATAGGAGAATTATATAGGGGAAGAAAATATGAGAGGGAAAATAACTCACCATTAAATTTTTTTCCCTAAATGGGAAAAAAATTGCTTTCTTGCACCATTTATCATAACTAGGCGAGATGAATTTCATTGGTGCCAAACAATCTTGTTAAAATAAAAAATATGTTATGTTACTGATAAATAAATACAATTTTATTACTAGAGATATAACGTCACAGTCAGCGTCATAGATAGATGTTTTTATAAAAATCAATATTATAATTTTGAAGTTTGATTATTTTAAACTTATTATAGTTTGTGAACTTATTAAAAGTGTTTGTAATTAGTCGTTATTGTTACTACGAAAATTTCAAACATACCGAAAAAAATAGTACAGATTATAAAGTAACCATATGAATGTAAAAAGGTATTAGATACAATTATATATATATATATCAAGTGTTGTTTAGATTAATTCTTACATTGAAGGGTTTAATTCATCTATTGAAGAGTTAAAATCAAATAATTTGGAGTTAAAATAAAAATACGAAAGGTTACACAGAATTATTATCACTTATTGCTTAAAACTCTCATGTGTTTATAACTTATCTCCTTAAAAATTATTTTATATTATTACCAGTTTTTGTGGGAGATTACAAATCAGACAGTGCTATTTAATGAGTTTTTATTTCATAATCACATCAGATACATAGTTTTTCTAAACCCTTTTATGTGAGAGATTAGAAAATTGATAATGAAGACAAATAAACCTAAGTTTTATTTAATAAATCTGTTGTTTGAGTTGTTAATATTTATATTTGTTTAAATTATGTGACATTTTAATTGAATAATTTTAATGTGATTGTGTATCTCATCATTTACAATATGATTACATCTGTACATAATATATTAAAACGCAAACAATATATACCTTAGTCCTCCTCTCCTCCATCGACATTGTTAACCTTAAGTTATCCAATTTCCAAACAATAATAACAATAATATACAAAGTGGAGGTCTTAAATAATCACGATAGACATTGATTTGCCAATTCTAAAATGAAATTATTGCTAAATATATAGATGTTTGATTATATTTGATCCATTTTAGATGTTTGATTATATTTGATCCAATATCTAAATCGGATAAGGAAATTCTAAGATGACATTATTGCTAAATAATTGTTATTAGAAAAGTGTTACTTTTAAATTATAAGTTGATTATCACATATTTTAGGGATACTATATTTTTACCTTTGTTATTAATTTAAGTTAAAATTTAAAAAAAAAATCATAAAAGGGTGGTAATTTTTTTTTTTTTTTTTGGAAAAAGGGACAAATTATGCGCTTGCAGGGGATTGAGCTCAGAACAATGTAATTTAACATCAATTCAATGCAGTTTTATGATCAGCGTTAGTAACCAATTTAAAACGGATCAAATATGTTTGATTATAATGTCATCTTATAATTTTCTTATCTGTTTTGGATGTTTGATTATATATTTGATCCAACAATCTAGTAATACCTTCAATAGTAATTGTGCCTATAGCCATCTAATCATTTACAATTATTCTCCCCTCTTTTGATGATGTGTCAAATTTCTAGTGTTGTTGTATGTAGGGACATCATATAATGGTTGTATGTGTCAATTTATATTACACATTTTACGGCTTGAACTCAAGAAAATATAAATTACGGAGTATAGTTTTAGTAATAATTTTGACAATATTCTGATAACTCTCATCATATTCATTTATAAAAAAGAATACATAATACAGACAAGAGTTTATGTAAGTTGTACCCAAACATAAGATGTATAACCTAATTAGCTAGAATAAACTAAAACACTGAGATTATTTACTCTATACTCTTGCACTTATAAAATTTTTATAAAGACATCAAAGATTCCACAAAATTCATAACTGATCACCTGCCACTTTCCAAAGATGAAAGCAAGTGTGAATCATATGAATTTGATTCAATGCCACTGCTACAACCTCCATGGTCGAATCTCAAATTTCCGGTGATAAAAGATTCACAATCTTCTTGGACTGATCCATCATCATTCCATGGATGGGATCCCTTTCTTTTGATAGTCTCCAATTCGATTGCAACTTCTTTCATAGCAGGTCTTTCATCTCCTTTTAACATCAAGCACCGTTTAGCTAGATTGGCCATTTGTTGTATCTCCTCAATCTTTTGCTCACTCACTATGTTTATGTCAAGAATGTCCAACAATAGGCCTTCTTTTATCTTGAGGAGGAAGTGCATAGCAAGACATTTCTCAGCTTCAGGCCTAGTAATAGAAAATGCATTTTTCCTAGTCAATAGCTCCACCAAGACGACACCAAAACTATAAACATCACTCTTTTCAGTTAGCTCACTTGACTGCAAATATTCGGGATCCAAATATCCTCGAGTTCCTAGCACAATGGTAGCAAGTTGGCTTTGATCCGGGGGAACCAATCTTGAAGCTCCAAAATCTGTTACCTTAGCAGTGTAACTTTCATCTAAGAGAATGTTCATTGATTTTATATCTCTATGAATTATCGGTGTTGAGACTGTATTGTGTAGATATGATAGCACATTGGCAACCTCTGATGCAATCTTTACACGCACTTGCCATTTAAGCATGGACGCTTTTACTGCATCGTGTAAGTGATCATATAATGTCCCATTGTTAATGAATTCGTACACCAACAATGGAACTTCACTCTCCAAGCAACAACCTAGTAGCCTAACAACATTTTTGTTGTTGATTTGTGATAAAACAAGAACTTCATTGATGAATTGATCAACTTGGTTTGGATCTACCTTGAGAGATTTTTTGATAGCCACAACCTGGTTATCTGGCAAAATTCCCTTGTACACGATTCCAAAACCTCCTCTTCCAATTATGTTTTCGTCACTATAATTGTTGCACGCTACTTCAAGATCTTGCATAGTAAAGATTTTTAATGCATTTGCATGTCGTCCAGAGAGCTTTTCATGTAGAAGCAAACCCCCATTTTGGCGAAAAAAAACTTCTCGCATTTTTTTAATTTGTCTTTGACCATGTATAAAGTGCAAGAGAAACCCAAACAGAAGGAACATTATGATGCCACCACCAAGACCTACGTGATAAAAAGTTGTTGTCACTATTACGATTGCAACAAACTTAGAGAAATCTAAACATAAACAAGAGTATATGACTATATGCACCTTCTTTTCCACCCTAGACCCCAAAACTATGCATGGGCTTATGTCTATTTCAATTCTTGTCTATATAAAGTGGCCCACTCGTAGTAACAAATGTAGAAGACTATGTAAAGATCAAAACAAGATAACACCCATATTTACGTGGTGATTTACAATCTCGAACTATAGCCCAAAATAACATATATTGTGGTCCTTTAGGCGCATTCCCCATACCAAAGGCCATGTTATGCTCTAAACCCCAAAGCCAGGTTGCTTTACACTTATACTCTTACTTGCTAAACGGGCTAGAGACATCATGATAGTAATTTGAATAAGGCTAGTAGATTTTCCAGGCATATATAACATGTAATAAACTAAAGTATATCATAAGAGTATCAACCTAATAATTTATAATCAATCAATGTATGCGATGATCAAGATTCTATAAAAACCTAAAATAACCAATTAAGGACATAAATTTGTAGGAGCAGTTAGAATTTGTTCCATACCTGCAATAGCCATAACTGGTGTGAACCAAGGCTTACTATTAGAGACGCAAGGGCTGGTTTTGGTCCCATTCCCGTGGTACCTCCTTGGACATTTGCAATGATAACTTCCATTAGTGTTGATACAATACTCTGGTTTCTCACAATCATTTGCTTCCTTGCACTCGTCAATGTCTGAAATGCAAATTGAAACACTCGTTATACAAGTGTAACAAATACGGAGTATATATAAAAGCAAAGAAAATTATCTTTGATCATAATATAATTGAAAATAAGTTTTGTTCAGTAAAAATGATGTGAATAAGTTTTCTTCAAATAATATATTATGTAAAAATAATTTCAGTTTAGAAAAAATAAGTTAAGTTTAGCAAAAATAAGTTCAGTTCTGGAAAAAATTGTTTTAGGTCATGTTCTCTTCACTTTATGTTTTATGAACTGAATGAATTGAAATTATTTTTTTGCTTAATATAAACTATTTTACTAAACCGAAATTAATTTTACCGAATTGAAATCAATGATTCTAATTAAAACTTATTTTTACGGATTCGTTATTCTGCTTGTTCATTGAAGTTATTAATTTTATTTACGGATTATAACTTACTTTTACTAAACAATAATTACTATGACAGAACTTAACATATTTAATTTTTATCGAATTGAATTTATTTTTGCTTAATTTAACTTTATTTTATCAAACTTAAATTATTTTTATTGAATTTTGATGTGAAATAAGGTAAAGAGAACATGGCTTAAACTAATAAGTTCAGGGAAAAAAATTTATTTAATTTTATACCCCGTACAGAATTTTAGATATAATTTTGACAAAATAATACAAAATTACCAGTATAAGTTTAGACAAAATTAAATGAACAAATATAGCCAAAGAAGTGAAAAGGACATTGTTTATACCTGTGCATCCAAGAGGAAGGTAAGGGTTGCCAGAGTAACCATTTATGCAGCGGCAGCGATACCCCAATTCGCGCATCGGATCATAACACTCTGTGTTTTCTTTACATAAGCAGCTCCCATCCGCTTTCGCCACAGAGCAATTGTCTCGTCCAACAGTCCAATTGAATACTACAGGTTCTGCCAAGGCTTGGTAGTACTCCATAGCTTTTCCCAAATAGTTTTCGTTAAATTTGAATGAATCTTTTGCCACCGGAAATGCAACATTACACGGGTTAAAACCATTCACAGAACTACGATTGCTAGGACTCTCTACATGCACTGTAACGTTGTTAACTCCACAGGGAATCGAGGCTTGACAACACCCAACCCCGGAACATTCTCCGTTAATCACATCATCTGGCTCCACACAGTTAGTCGAGCATCCAATTTTGTATCGTAATCCAACTCGAAACCCCGAAAATGAGGCAGTGGTGTCGCACCCTATAGCAACTAATATGTTTTTGGGGCTAGATAAGGTAAATGTTCCCAGGTTGAACCTTTCAAACCAACTGTGAACTCGATTGCTCTTGTTGTAACAATCGTAAGAAACACGTGATTTGGAGCGTAACTCACCCTCTACTACTGAAATATTCAGTACCTCCATCTCCAACAATCTCGGTGTTGGAGGGTTTGTAGCATTACTACAATTGATTTTGAAGGAGGAAGATATTTCATTATTTGGTGGTTTGTAGTAACAACCTTCTTCAATACCAAAAGGGTAAGGAATGCTCAAATTTCCACACTTATCTGAACAGTGTGGGGCGATTACGAGGGGTGACGCTGCTTCATCGTCTCCGGTGATGAGCGTTGTCAACACCCAACACAGGCAAACTAAGAGTAGAAGAGCATAAGAATAACCCATGATTATAGTGAGTATTTTTGGAGCTAGATTAAATATTTTTTTTTTTTTTAATTGAATAGTGAAACGATAGGATTCTTTGTAAAGGATTTCAATACTTTGGCCAAGAATGAGGTGTTTTTTGTTAAGTATTTAGGAGTTATAGCCTATATAACAACTCTCACATAGTCGAGGCAAAGTCATCCCGTCAACATAATTTGTATTGTAGAAAAAGAATAGTCACTTGGACCAAGTTGGAACTAAAAGTTACACTTATGTCTCTATCTGTTTTTTTTTTCATTTATTATTATTAATTTATGTTTTAAAAAAAATTTAAATTATTTTCAACATACAAGAAAGAATCCATTAAAAAGAAACAAGGGTGTATGTAAAGGGTAGTGATGTACACCCATCTTTCCATCTCCATCTGATATACTACGTATTTTTATTACAAACAATAATTTAACCATCAACTTCTTATAAGACCAGGCCAGATTATACGGCATTGTTACTAGTCAATTTGATTATTTGTCTCTTGTGTCATGTCACGATATTAGTCAATTAGTGAATAAAAATATGTGTATTATTTTGGATCAGAAAACTTGATACGGAGTACATTTCATCCTTACAAAAATAAATAAATAAATAAATTATAGGATATTATTGAAGCATAGACAAACGGACTGGAATAGTTTAGTTTGAATTTTCAGAAGGCTAAAACCAATTGACGACCCCATTTGTAACGTAGGGATGTCCATTTAATTTGGGTAACCGAATGAAGTATGGATTGATACACAACGGGGCGTGTATGTTAGAATCGAGGTTACTTTTTTAATTAACCAATATTGGTTCGGATTAGGTCAAATTTAAGTCAAGATATGGTCGTGTTTGAGTCTGATAAACATTAGGTCGGTTCATATATATACAGTTTGAATAAATTCGTATCGGATTCAAAACGGTTTGACTAGGTTAATTGCAGGACACATGACTTTGGGTTGGGTAGATTATGTTTCAGCAGATTTTGGTTCGATTTGTTTTGAGTGGGATAAGGTTGATTAAAAACTGGGTCAATTCCTGCTCCAATTCCAATTCAAATTCATTTGGGTTTGGCTGAAATTGGGTCAGTTTGACTAATAAGGTGATTTTTATACTAGAGTTATTACCTTATTAACTAGATTTTGGCCCGGGTAATGCCCCAAGTCATTATATGTATATTGAAAATAAGCTTTTATAATAAAAAATATATGATGAAATATAAAAATAGATTAAATTAGTTACATCTATTTAGGTACTCATACTATTTAAAAAATATTTTTTCAATCATTATTGAAAATCAATATGTATTATCCGATATCCAGTATCCTACAATTATTAGTTTACTTCATTCTTCAATTGTTATAGAAAAAAAAAATCCATTAGATTAAAAAAGTTTAATACATATTTTGGGTTACGTATTGAAAATAGCTATAGGTATTATGTATGAGCAAATAAAATAAATGAGATTAGTTTTTGTTATTATATATTATTGTTTAATATACATGTATAAAATTAAACATTAAATTTTTTACTTTATGACTATAATATAATTAAGGAATTTCTATTATTAACTCTTTTTAACAAGAAGTTATAAGCATAAGACGTGCCATTGAAATTGTGATTGAAGTTAAAGTATAATATATATCATCTTTCTAATAATGGTGACATATGACAGGATCATGTATTTTCTAGTAATGATGTCGCGTTGCAGGGTCATCATCTTCCTAGTAATTGACTAATATGTGTGACATGACACAAGAGGCAAATAACAATCGTAATTAAACCTGGGCACGGGCCGGGTTGGCCCGCGTGCCGCCCGGCACGGCCCGCCGTTCGGCGCAGCCCGGCACGGCCCGAAGTCAAGCACGGCACGGCACGAAGTTCAACTTCCGTGCCACGGGCCGTGCCACGGACACGGTTGAGAATTCCCAGGCACGGCCCGGCACGAGCACGGGCATGGCTCGCCGTGCTGGCCCGCAGGCACGGCCCGTAGGCACGGCCCGCGGGCCAACGGCTATAAAACGGCTAGTTTTTTGCCAAAAATTCTATAAATACTCACCTCCATTTCATTCCCAAATCACAAAATCACAATCTCTTCTTCTTATCTCTTATATTCTCTAAATCTCTAATAATCCTTATTTTCTTAAATTCTCTAATTATTCTCTTAAATTCTCTAATTATTTTCCTAATATCGGAAAAAATTAAAAAGTTCGTAATCGTAATTAGTGGAGCGTTGAAGCACGGTTGTAAGATCTAAACTAATCTTAAATTTATTATTGTTTTATTGTTATTATTAGAATAATCTTGTTTAATTATTATTGTTGTTAATTGTTATTGTTGTTGTTATAATTGTTGTTATTAATTATTATTATTGTTACAATTGTTGTTATTATTTATTTTTGTTGTTATTGTTATTGTTATAGTTGTTGTTATTAATTAATATTATTGATATTTTTATTGTTAAAATTGTTGTTATTAATTATTATTATTATAGTTAACCACTTTTTATTAAAAAATTAATTGTTAATTATGGCATCGAACAACCCATCATCTAGGTCTAGGGGGAAAGGCCGACTTATCCGTAGTAGTAGTTCTAGGGAACCACCAAATACAACGAGCCCCCAAATTACGAGTCAAACCAATGACCCCATTTACTTCCCCCCGGGCTATGAGCCATATAATACGTCGGGATTTCCAGCACCACCACTAAACCAATTTCCACGACCACCATACCAATTTCCACCTAATTATATCGGTAATCAACAAAACTATTGTTCTAGCCAAGGTAGCCAAGAAAGTACCAGAATTCCCTCCGGTTCTACCCCTTCTACTGCCACTCCCACTAGTCCCACTACTAACCATCACACACATCATGAATGGTTAACCGAAACTGAGATGCTACTTTTGAAAAATCGAAGGAGTGAGGTATGGCGTTATTTTTTCCTAAGTAAAGATGGTGAACAATGGGCAAAATGTAAAACATGTAATAGTGTATTCACGGCAGTTACCAAAAATGGGACGGGACACTTATCTAGACACATGAAAGCTTGTGCAAAACCAGCTAGTGATCCAACCCAGCCCAAAATTTCCCAATTCCATCCATACGGCTTTACATACAACTATGAGAGGGATAGGGATGAACTAGGAAAAATGATAGTACACGCCGAACAACCTTTTCTTTTCTCGGAAAGTGACGCATTCAACACCTACATTAACAAAGCACTACAACCCCAACATAAAAGAATCTCTAGGAAAACCGTTCGTTCCGCCGCAATGAAAAATTTCCTAGAGTACAAAGTCCGGTTACAAGCCGAATTGAGTAACCTTAACTGTAGAGTATCTTTAACAGCCGATTCTTGGGATAGTGGTTATAAATATCACTATTTATGTGTGACTTGCCATTGGGTAGATGATCAATGGATGTTACAAAAAAGAATAATACATTTCAAAATGTTGGAATACCCACACACCGGCATTAACATTGCTCACCATTTAATGCAAGCAATAGACGAATACAACCTTCGAGATAAAATGATGTCTATGACTTTTGATAATGCAACCTCTATGACATACACAGCTAATCTTATCAAACAAAACTTAACCGATGTACTATTAGACGGTGAAGCTCTTCATACTAGATGTGTTTGCCATGTACTTAACTTATGTGTACAGGATGGAGTTCGGGCAATTGGCCCATACTACAGCAAAATCAGAGATGCTATTATGTCTATTAATAGCTCTAACATGAGATACCAAGAATGGAAGAGTTTTCTAAAACAACAAAAGATAAGGGTAATAAAAATTAGAACCGATTGCCCAACTAGGTGGAATTCCACCTATGACATGTTAACAAAGGCAATTGAGTACAAGGGCCCGTTAACATTATTTTACAACCAAAAATTTCCACAAAATGCTTTGTATGATCATGATTGGAAAAACTGTGAAACATATATGCAATTTTTACAGTTATTATATAACATGACGTATTGTTTTTCTACTGTTTACAATCCTTGTGCTCAAAACTTTCTTTCTAATGCATGCTTACTCGCCCAACTTTTCGCTGATCATCGCGATCAAAGTGATTATGATCAGTATCTTCCAGCAATGGAAAAAAAGTGGCGTAAATATTATAGTGAGATTCCTTTGATTTATATTTTTGCTTCCATATTAGATCCTAGGCAAAAGTATGAAAACACATTTATGTTAGTTGACATTTACTTTCAATGCATGTTTCTTGACGATGATGTAGAAAACTATAAGACTAATGTGAAGGATCAGTTTTTTGCTTTATATAGAGTCTATGAAGCCAAATATGGCACCGTTCCTCGCTCAGGGCCTTCCCAACCATCCAAAAACGTAAGTAAGAAGGCCAAACAATTATTTTCACAAGCTACTAACTTGATTTCAAGGTTTTCAGGTGATTCATCAATCAGGAGAACGCAAAGCGACGTCTCGGAGTTTCAGATGTACCTGAGTTACGACTTCACCAAAGGCATGGACGACGATGAGTTAAACAGCCTCGACCTCCTTGCATGGTGGAAACAACAAAGCTCGAAGCATCCAACTTTGGCGGCAATGACACGAGACATTCTTGGTATCCAAGTTTCCTCCGTCGCCTCCGAACGAGCTTTCAGCGCATCCGGAAGGGTTTTAGACGATAGAAGAACAAGTCTAAAACCCGAAACACTAGAAATGTGCGTGTGTTTCAAAGATTGGTTGGATGCGGAAAATCGCTCACAAGACCGTTCTTACGACCACAACGACAACGAAGAAGGAACCTCCGCTTCCGGTTCGGGTTCGGCTAGTTCCCAATCTATGCAACTAGCCGATGACCTTGAAGGCGAAGGCGAAGACGAAGACGAAGACGAAGACGAAGACGAGCAAGAAGAAGGAGAAGAAGAATAGACAATTATTGTATATTGTACGATTTTAAAAATATCAATTTTATCATTTTCCAATTTTTGTTTAATACCATCATTGTATGATTTTTATCATTGTTATCATTGTACAATTTTCTCAACTCAAGTAATAATAATATAAAGTACGCATTATTCACATCCAAAGTCCAATTTGCCTTTTTTCCCCGTTTTGTTACAATTTGTAAATTCATATTAAAAAAAATAAAATTATACCAATTACTAATAAATCATAAACATTAAATTTTAAAGTAATAGTATAAAGTAAATATATAAATATAAATATTGAATATACAAATTATAAAACATAAATATTCAACTTATAATTATAAAATTCATAACTTAATAACTTATAACTTATAAGTTATAAACTTATAAGTTACCTTATAAAACTTATAATTATAATTTTATAACTTATATACATTATAAACTTATTAATTTATAATGTTGTCATTAAAAAAAAATAAAAAAAAATAAAAAAAAAAAAAAAAAATGAAAACTGCACCAGCCCGCGCAGGCCGGCACGTGGCCGGCACGGCACGAGCCCGCCAGGCACGAGGGCCGTGCCGTGCCGTGGGCTGGCCTGTGAAAATGGCCGGCACGGCACGAAATCCTGGGCCCGCCGGCACGACCGGCACGGCCCGCGGCGGCCCGGCACGGCACGGTGCCCAGGATTAATCGTAATTAAGACACACGTGATTTCGGAGCGTAACTCATCCTCTATTACTGAAATGTCCAGACATAAGTACTGTAAAAACGGTTTGACAGTTTGGTTTCGGTTCAGTTTGAAATCGGGTCGGTTTGAAATCGGTTCAAATGTCTGACGGGTCGGTTTCAGTTCGGTTTAAATAATTATCGGTTCGATTCGGTTTTGGTTTATTCTTGAACGGTTTAAATTCGGTTCGGGTTGTAAACGGTCCGGGTTGTAAACGGTTCGGTGCAGACGGGTTGCGGTTTGTTAACGGTTCGGTGTAAACAGTTTTTATCCCGGTTTAAATTCGGTTTGGGTTGTAAACGGTCCGGGTAGTAAACGGTTCGGTGCAGACGGGTTGCGGTTTGTAAACTGTTCGGTGTAAACGGTTTTTATCCCGGTTCAAACAGTTTCGGGTTAGAAACGGTTCGGTTCTTTTTTGGTTTAGTTTTATTTTAGTTCGGTTTATAACTGGTTCGGTTCGTTAACGGGTTCAGTTCTTCTACGATTTAACATTATTTGGATCGGTTTTATTTCAGGTTTACTAAATTACGGTTCGAGTCTGTTTTTGATTTCAAAAAATTGGTTTTTTATCGAGTCGTTTGGATTCGGGCAATTAAACAGTTTTGGTTTGAAGTTTTATACTACTTTCTAACTTTTTGCTGGTTAACAAGTTTCATATCAAGGTGAGACTTCATCACTTCATATTCAGGCATCATATTATATGCAAATTCTCATTAATTTTATAAATACATATCATGTTATGTTTCAAGTTTAGCCATACTGATCTTACTAGTTTATAACGAAGTAGATTATAAAAGTTTAGTGCATTAATGTATCATTGTTTTACTATCAGATTATTATCTGCTTCTTATTTGATCATTTAGTTAATAGTGTCATAATCATGATTTGGTGAGTTGTTGTAAGTGGTTTGTAAACGGTTCGATTTATAAGCGATTCGGTTCATAAACAGTTCGGTTTATAAGCGGTTCGGTTTATAAACGGTTTGCAGTTTGTTAACGGTTCGGTGTAAACGGTTTTTGTGCCAGTTCAAACGGTTTCGGGTTAGAAACGGTTCGGTTCATTTTCGGTTCGGTTTCCTTTCAGTTCGGTTTAAATTTGGTTCGGTTCTTAAACGGATTAACGTTACTCGGATCGATTTGGTTTCAGGTTTACTAAAATGCGGTTCGGGTCGGTTTTCGGTTTCAAAAAATCGGTTTTTAATCGGTTCGGTTCTCATTCGGATCGGTTTGAATCCGTTCAGTTTGATCAGTTCGGTTCGGTTTTTGACAGTACTATGTCCAGTACCTCCATCTCCAAGTCTCCAACAATATCGGTGTTGAAGAGTACGTAGCATTACTACAATTGATTTTAAAGCAGAGATATTTCATTATTTGGTGGTTTATACTTTATAGTAACAAACTAATAACCTTTTTCAATACCAACACACAAACTGAAAGTAGAAGAGCATAACTTAACTAACCCCAAGGCTTTGTTTGGCATTGTTGTGCTTTTCTGTTTTTGGGTTTTTTGTTTTTTCAAAATTATATGATATATATCATATAATGAATCATAATTAGTCAAACTTATTAAAATCATGATAATTTTAAAAACTGACAACTGAAAAGTGAAAACACCTTTTATTTGTTTCCTGTTTTTGGTTTTTTTTTTTCAAAAAATCAGAAAACTGAAAACGAAAAACAATGTCAAACAAGTCATTAAATATTTTTTTTAGTGATGAGTATTTTTTTTACACAAATTCTTATATGCGGCTGGTCACATGGTGTGGCCAACCATCATGAGGTTATTTCAATTCGTTAGTGTTATTGGGGTTACTCGGTCAGTGTTACATGCAGGGGTTACTTTTTCAGTATTATAGAGTTACTCGGTGAGTGTTATATATTTTTTCTTGTAAAAGAACATAGTAACCTTTCTGACACTAACCGAGCAACTCCAAATTGATTAAGTAACCCCAATAACACTGACAAAGTAAATCCTGTAACACTGACCAAGTGACCCCTACCACACTAACGAAGTAATCCCTTTAATGACTAGTCACATCATATAACAATTTGTGAGCATGGTGAAACGACGATAAAATGTTTTGTAAGGGTTTGGCCAAGAATGAGGTTTTTTTGTTAAGTATTTAGGAGTTAATAGCCTATATAAGAATTAAGAACTCTCACAATTATTACCTATTATTATAGGCTTAACAGTAAAGGCAAAGTCTTCCCGTCAACATAATTTGTATCCCTACCTTATAAAAAGTACAAGATTACTCTTATAAATAGTATGCTACCAATTATACCCTTCAAAATGTGTATCTACAGATTTACCCTCATCAATGTACAAGTTTTTAATTTGCCTTCATTAATATTAATAGCCTTTTTTTTTCTTTTTTTGCCTTCATTAATATTAATTGCTTTTTTGTTTTATTTTTTTCTTTTAACTATTTAAAATAGTAAGCAAACATTTATACCCCTAACATATTTGTTTACATATTTCCCTTCATTAATGTTACCAACAACTAAAAAAGCCCCCCCCCAACATGCGATGTGCGCGTTAGCCACCCTAGTTGTAGTAAAAGAATTCTCTCTTAGACCTTTATAAGTTGGAACTTGGAATTAAAAGTTACTCTATTTCTCTATCTTTTTTTTTTTGTTTTTTTTTTTAACTACCTCCATTTCTTAAAGTGTGCAACAAATTAAAGGAATATTTTATTATATCTCACAAATAATATCATTTTGTTGCACATAATAAGAAACAGAGATTGTGATTTATTTTATACAATCATTCAATTTATTAATGAATTTGAAGGAATTTTTAAATTATGTTAACATACAACTATATAAGAAAGAATATAGTCATATGGAGTATTATTGGTTCAACTATTTATAGATACTAATGTTGTGTTGTGCAATGACAGACGTACGTGAATAAATCAAGAACCATTTAAAAGAAACAAGGCGCCTATACCCCTAGACGGATCTTGTATATTTTTTTGGTGTTTAGAGAGTCACAAGGGCGAGAGATGATGAGAATCGATCTCAAGACCACCTGGAATCGGGAGCGAAGCTCTAACCACTTGAGCTATCTTGTATATAAATGTATAGTAGTGAAGTTTATTTTTATTATATTGTAAGTCACAAAAAGTTCAAGAGTAATTTACAGCATAAGTGCATTAAATATCCGTTTAGTAAGAGTCATGAAAATTTCAAGAGTAATTTTCAGCATAAGCCCATTATATATACATTTATTAATAGTCATAAAAAGTTCAAGAGTAATCACCCTATCAAAGGCAAAGGAAATGTAAATCATCTAGGATTGAACAATAGAGACAATTCGGCAGAATCTAATACTCTACTTTCTAATGAAAATGTGCTTGAGTTCGCACTCTTGCTCACTCTAACAAACACTTGTTCAGGTTTTGGCTTGTTAAGATCATTTATATGTGGCACATGTAGAGACAAAATCCTATTTATCTCTAACCAAATTTCTTTCATGGTCGGTCTTCTCTTTCCATCCAAGATTAAACATTGTTTTGCAAGGTTAGCAATGGCTAAAAAACTCTTCCTCTGAGCCTTCTAGTAGGACTTGAGAATCTATGATATTAAGCACAGAAGAGTTTTCCAAATGCGAAAGGAACCATGAAATCAAACTTCGATCCTCTTCGAATGCAGCACGTACTGCCTTTTGTCCTATCAATAGTTCAACAAGGACAACACCAAAGCTATAAACATCACTCTTTTCCGTATATTGGTGAGATTGAAAGTACTCTGGATCCAAGTAACCAGGCGTTCCCATGACATGAGTAACCACACGGGTTTGATCAATAGCCACAGATCTTGAAAACCCGAAATCTGCTAACTTTGCTCTATACTTATCGTACAAAAGTATGTTTGAAGACTTAACATCCCTATGAAAGATGAGAGTAGAAGTTGAGGAATGCAAATAAGCAAGTGCTCCAGCTGAATCAGAAGCAATGTGTAACCTCATTTTCCAAGTGATTGGAAACTCTTCATTTGGATTATGAATATGATGGTAAAGCGTTCCGTTGGGAATAAACTCGTATACTAATAATGGTACGTCGGTCTCCAAACAACATCCCAACAACTTCAATATGTTTAGATGATTAATTTGTGACATAATAACCACTTCATTGATGAATTCTTCTCGTTGGCTTTCTTCCAATTTATTAGACTTCTTTATGGCTACATTTCTTCCTTCACTCAACATTCCTTTATAAACTGTACCATGACCTCCTTGTCCAAGTATTCTATCTTCATTGAAGTGGTCAGTGGATTTTTCTAGCTCATTGATTGTGAAGATTTTTATCCTTTCTACAACTCCTTCATCTGAAGACATTTGTTGTTGAAGCAACAAGCCACCATTTCTCTCAAAATTTATCTTTTGTTGCTTGATAACTTTTCTTTTTTTGGACACTGAATGTAACCAGCACCCAAAAAGTAACGTATATATTGTGGGCCTTTAGGCACATTCCTCATACCAGAGGCCATGTTATGCTCTAAGCCTCTAAACTCCAAAGCCATGTCACTTTACACTTAGACTCTGACTCGCTAAACAAGCTAGAGACATCATGATAGTAATTTGAAGAGGGCTAATAAATTTTCAAGGCATATATAACATGTACTTCCTCTGTTTTTTTACTTGATATGTTTCTTTTATCACGCTTGTCAAAGCAAAATAACTTTTATTCTCTATAAGTAAAATTCTAAAAGAAATTGGTACGAGGAATGTGAAAAATCAATAAATACTATTAAAAATTGGTCAAACTTATTAAAAAAAATCAATAAATTTGAAAAATGACCACAGAAAAATAGAAGCATCTTTTTCATGTTTTTTGTGTTTTGGTTTTTTATTAAAATAATCAGAAAATTAAAAACAAAAAATGATACCAAATAAGCCCTACAATTAAGGACACAAATTTGTTCCATGCCTGCAGTAGTCAAAACTGGTACGAGCCAAGCCCTTCATTCAGAAATGCAAATATTAGTTTTGGTCAAATTCCCACGGTACCTCCTTGGACATTTGCAATAATAACTTCCAACTTTGTTAAAACAATACTCTGGTTTCTCACAATCATTAGCTTCATTGCACTCGTCGATGTCTAATGAAATGCAAAGTGAAACACCCGTTATACAAGTGTAACAAATATGACGTAAAAGTAAAGAAGATCTTCTTTTTTGATCCCAGTTTAATTGAAATTAAGATTATTCAGAAAATATATATGTAGTCTCTTGAGTAAGGCTTTGCTCTTATCACGTCCTTATTATTTTAACTGAATTAAGATTAATTTTACTGATTAAAATTTATTTTTTATTGATTGATAATATTTGCTCGTTGAATTTACTGATGTTTTCAGTGATTATAACTTACTTTTATTAAATAATGCTTATTATTGTAAAACTTAAAATACTTTACCGAATCGAACTTATTTTTGCTGAATTTAACTTTATTTTAGTGAACTTAAATTAGTTTTTTTGAAAATTTATATTAATAAGGTGAAGAGAACAACATGCCCTAAATTAATAAGTTCACAAAAAAAAAAGTTTTTATACACAATTTGAGATAAATTCATATACACAAATTCTTATATGAGGTGTGGCCAGCGTTTATAAGGTTACTTCGTTAGTGTTATAGGGGTTACTCGGTTGGTTTACAGAGGTTACTTCGTCAATATTATAGGGGTTACTCGGTCAGTGTTTTAATAAAACAATATAAGGCTTTGTTCACTTCACGTTAGAAAAATAATATTCAGTAAATTTAATTTCAGCAAAAATAAGTTCAGTTCAGTTTAGTAAAAAAAAAATCAGTTCACTAAATAATAAATAACTTATTAATAGGTTGCCTTATGGAAGTCCCAGCAGGGGGATCATGCTTCTGCCTAGTTACGGGCGGTCCCAATATCAGGGTTGGTCAGTCTATGAATGGTAAAGCTTACCGTTGTGTTCTTTACTATCGATTGGGTGTTCCATTGTTCTCGGTTTCAGCACCGTGTTCCGCTTGCTCAAGGGTTTTCGATGGGGATATATTTGGAGATCATGCAGTGTCTTGTGCTGGGATGGTGGGTATTAAACACCGGCATAATGTTGTTTACGACACCCTTGCTGATATGTGTTTTCGGTCCAGGATTTCTGCAAGAAAGGAGGTTAACGTTGGGTTGACTGGAGGAAACGATGGGGCTCTTTGACCTGCAGATGTGTTGCTTTATTCTTGGGATAGAGGCCTTGACGTGTGTGTTGATTTGACGGGGTTTAATTTTCTCCTTTAACACAATCAGGGTAGTCTGACTTTGTTCCTGGTCGTGTTGTGTCGGTTGCTGCTCAACGGAAACAGGACAAGTATGGAGCCCGTTGTAGGGCTATTGACTATGGTTTTATTCCCATCTTCATTGGGGGACTTAGAGAAGGATATTGTTGCGTTGCTGAAGCGGGTTCAGGCGTTCGCAAGGACTCAGGATATAGGTGCTCCGTGCAGCTGCTCACATCTTCAGCAGGATCGAGTTCGCTATAGCTAGAGGAGTGGGGGCCCAGATTGTGTCTCGGCTCCCCACTAATTTCTTGTAAATTGATTGACATTGTAGGTTTTTGTTAATATTTATTAATAATAATAATAATAATAATAATAATAATAATAATAATAATAATAATAATAATAATAATAATAATAAGGAAAAATTATAATAGAGAATCACTAAAAATTATTTAAGTTCAACAAAAATAATTTAAGTTCAGTAAAATTAATGTCTGTTCATCAAAAATCATTTCATTTCAATTAAAATAATTTCAGTTCAACAAAATTAAGGTGAATTGACCAGACAAATTTAGATAAACAAATATTGTATAGCCTAAGAAGTGAAAAGGACAAATATTTTTATAAAGATGGGTTTTGGTTCAAAACAGATCGGGTGAAATCGGGGGTCCGATTATTATCGTTTCAGGTCATAATCGGTTTGGATTGAACTTGGTTGGTTTGAAAATGGGTTTTCCCAATTTGAAGAAAGTTTTAATCCAAATCATATTGGTTAAAATCGAGTCAGATCATTATCGAGTCGAGTTAGTCAAACAATGGGTAGGAACGTGTTTCGGGGTTTTTAGATGTACTGCGGGAGAGTTACAATTTCGAGACTGGAACCGAACGCCTGTACCTGCAAAACAAACGGATGCTCCGGATGGTTGGAGATCCGCCTCCAACGGTCAAGTTAGTACTTGATTAAGGAGTAATTAACACGGAAATAAATGTAATTTGGTCTCTCTAGGTGAGAGTGTTTAATGTGCGTCATCCCCCTTAATGAGGATTAATGGGGATATTTATATGCCTTAGGATGCATGCCAGTACTAGGTTTTGGTTAAACCTAAGGCTGACTGGGCTTCCCACCAAGATTGGGCCTTGTTGGCTGATTTATCCATTTGGCATGGATGGACACGTGTCGCGTCGCAATTGGTCCATGGAGGGCGTATCTGGTTGACACGTGGCAGACTCCTATTGGCCTACGTGAAGGACACGTGGCGGAACCTGACTGGTCCACGTGTCAGATGCTGATTGGTGGATAAAAATCCCCTAATCATTTGCCCCTCACAGGTGGCACGTGACTGGTCACGTGTTACCTGTGACAGGTGTCGCACCGTAACGGGCGACGACCTGCTACAGGTGTCACGCGGTGAAAGGCCGAGAGATTTTCCCGCCCAAATTTTGAATTTGGGGGTGACCCTTTGCCTTCTCGTTTTTGCCTATATAAGGGTGTGTTGACTTCAGTCATTTTCACACTTGAGAACTTTGAAGAGAACATTCGGACCCCTGAACTTGCTCTGACATTCCGGACTCTTTCTGCCTACCGTCTGCTCTAACAAGCCGGCTACTCAGAATTTTCAAAACTTCGTCAACTTTACTCGTTCAGGTAACCGTCGGTTCTCTCACTATTAATTTTTCTTTATTTTTTTTCCTTTTTGAAATGGCACCACGGAAGCACACGACACGACCTAGATTAGTGATCAGCCGGTCACCGGGGACGGCTGAATCTAGGACTAGGAGTGCCGCCTGCCCTTTTCCGAACCAGTCTTTTCCCTTTATACAAAGTCCGACTGTCTCTGTGTCTATGCAGAACATGATGGCTAGAACAAAAAAACTGTTAGGATCTCGAACTCAGACGGCTCCTCCCACAGGGTGCCAATTAGTGAAACATCTGACCAGGCGCCAGATGCTGAAGTAAACCAAGGCGGCTTGACCGCCGATAGTTCTGAGGGAGGGGTCAAGGTGGTCCCTTCCCATTTTACAGTTGACATGTCTACCTTCTCTCCTACTCCCATTGAAGGAGAGGAGGCGGGTCCCTCTGGGAGAGGGGAGGAGTCGTCCTCTTCGGATTCGTCAGAGGACGAGTCCGAGTCTAGTTCTTCTGGTCATGCTTCTCTAGACACAGAAGAGAAGAACAGCCGCCTACAAGAGGCGAGGCTTTCTCACGCAGTTGAGAAGGGGGACAGTTGGGCGGAGCCGTCCGCCTCTTACAGGGAGCAAAATACCCCTTACTACTGCACTGTCCCACAGGGCCGGATCAAGGACATGCAAGAGAAAGTGGGGAGCTTTATTGCGAACCACACAATGGGCCCCGGCTTTTTAGTTTTTGTGCCGGATCCAGAAGACACGATCGTCTGGCCGGCTGGTACTAGCTATGATAGCGCCTGCTTTGGCTGCTACGAGGCGGCCATCAAGGCTGGGCTGCGCTTCCCACTACATCCGGTTGTTCAGCGGATCTTGGATGGGTATGAGTTGGGGTTATGGAAGTTAGCCCCAAACTCCTGGTTCAACGTTCTCGGCTATGTGGCCGGGTGCGAACTGCACAGGGTGGAGCCAAACTTTGAGGCTTTCGCCCATATGAACTATCTCAGCCGGACCCCTAAGGCAGGTGGTACCGACTGGTATCAATTGACGAGCCATAGAGGCTACCTCATGACAAGAGGTAAAGAAAATAAGTGGAAGGATTGGCGAAGCACCTTCCTTATCATTGAAAGTTCAGACACAGAGCTGAACAAGCGCTTCAACAAGTGGAACAGGGATCCGCCTCTTCTTGCAGGCGGCCGCAGCATGCCGCCTGTTCCTCCAAAGGCAAAGAAAGAGATCCTGGACAAAGGACTCTTCAAAGTAGAGTCAAGGGTCGACTCTACTACAGGGGTGCGAGAGCAAGTGCCCCTGCACTGCGTCCCGAGCTTTAAATGGCTTTATGACGAGTACTTTTTGGCCGCCTGTGGCCTCAGCAGTCGGTGTTCAAGAGGTAGCCGGCCTGTCGAATACTCTCCTTTGCCATGCATTACTGTTATTAACCTTGGTATTTGTCCATGCAGTGGACGCCA